GGGATGAGAGCAGTATGCCAATCCCGGCTGACTTGGGAATGCCGACACCGCTATTCTTCGTAAGTATCCACGGTCCCCAGCGATGACGTTGCACCTTGTCGCGGCGTTGGGCTTTGGTTGCGTATAGGAACTCCGCAGCAGGGCGTTGCTGCGAGCACGACGGAGACCAAGGCGACTTCACCCCTCGAGAAGGTTCCACGCCATGCCCGGTGCGGGGAGGTGAGGCGGTCTGCCTGCAGACTGTCGGACAGAACTGCACGACCGTTTCGCAGCGGTCACTCCGTTGATATCGCCCGTGGCAGTGACGTTCACAAGAACCCTGCCCGAGGAGGATGGCTTCATCAATATTTGGCAGCTCAACATTGCAGGCCTCTCGTCCGTGAAAAATATTGCATTTGCTGCGCGATTGGAGCAGCGTCCACCTGACATCATTCTTCTCCAGGAAACAAGTAACCGTGGTGGCGTGGCGACGAAATTATGTGGCTATAATGACTGCCTTCAGGCCGCACTGGGCGCGGTGGTGGCGCTGCCGTTCTGGTGCGCCACTCTCTACCGTGCGAGCGCCTGTCGCTCCCTGGCACTGACCTCCTGGAGACCATTGCTGTCCGTGTATTTCCGCCGGGCCGTCGCAGCATTTGCGTGGCGAATCTCTACAACCCTCCCACAGCAATTGGTCAATAATCCGCATTTATCAATATCGTTTGCCGCTTGTGCCCGAAGAGATTATCGCGGGTGATCTGAATTTGCATCGTGAACTCTGGGACAGTCATATACACCATCAAGGACTGGAGGCGATAATTTCGCCGCTGTTCTAATCGATATGGATTTTGGGCTGGCAAATTACCCGACACAGGCAACACGGATCACACATCGTAATGCCTCGTCCCCTGACGTGACTGCGTATTGCGCCCTACGCATCTCCCACTGGACATTCGCCCCTTACATGGACTCGGACCACTGCTGAATATCTTACTTGGTAGAGATGGACGATGGCACTCCACGACTAGCAAACACGCTGCCTTGACGGAAGAAAGCCACCTTTGCCCTGCGTAAAGCGGATTGGCATGCTTTTACATCGTTGTGTGAAACCCTCCTTGCCACCGCGTCCACATGGTTGGATCCTCGCGGAGGCATCTTACGAGCAGCTGAGCGCCATATCCCGCGCGGCAGCCGTGACAGCTCCAAAAAGACATGGACACACGAAATGGAACAGGCCGAGTCCGCCGCCGAAGCAGCACACGAAGCACACACATTGCCTCACCTGGAGACAGCCTACTTTGAGTCGAATGTACCCGAAAAAAGGAGGAGCGAAATCAAGCCTTGCGCCGTTGCTCCGCTGTGTTTCTGGAAGCCCGCGCGAAAAGACTTGGAGCCTCACCCAGCCCGAGGTGGCGATATCTTCACGGCGTGGCGGCGCCGCATCCTCATCCTCTGGAATCGGTTGTGCTCCGCACTGAACTTGGCCGCGTATGCGCCCTGCCTCGGCAACAGGCAAATCTGCATGTCCGTCATTTTGTGCGGTTTCACGTGCCATACGGCCTTATACTGCTGCTGCTGCTCGCTGCACTCCTTTGGTTCCTGGTGGCTGGGAAATGGATCGGCCTTTCCCGCCGTATGTACTTGACGTGACCATCCGCGACTCTTTGCTTGGCTCAGCCCCTGGCCCCGACGACATGTTGAATGAATTCCTGCACCGTCTCGTGCCCGTTGCGCGTGGCACACTTAGAACGATGATCCACAACTCCTTCGCAAACGGCAGCCTCCCTGGCTCCTGGAAAATGGGAGACGCTATTCCTATCCCCGGGCCTGGGAAGGATTCATGCCGCCCAGAGAGCTACAGAACTATCACGATACTCTCTGTTTTACTAAAGTTAGCCGAAGGAATGACTCACCGCCGTCTGTCAGCGTTATTGCCGCACCACCCACGTCAATTTCGGATTTGCACCTCCGCGTTCTACGTCGGACGTGGTGGCACTTGTTATCGACAAATTACTCGTGGACTGAATGAGTTTGGCATTGTGGAGCATGAGCGCCCTGGAGACGACGCCCCCACACGACGCCCTCGTCGCCATCGCTCGTGGTCTCGATTGATTTTCCGACTGCGTTCGACACCACTGACCATGGGAAGTTATTCTGCATGCTTGACAGACTTCCGCGCCTTGGCCTCGAACCAAACGCTGGCTGCACAACTACCTGCGGGGCCGCTATGTTGGGGTATGCACTTGTGAACAGCACTCCCGGAAGCAACTCGCCTCAGCTGGAGCACCGCAAGGCGGCGTCCCGGGACCCCAACTCTCCCTCTACTGTGTGGATGATCTGCTGCGCCGCCTGGGCAGCATCTATTCTGCCTCCGCATTCATGTAAGCTGACGAACACACGCTTGTTGCCTTGTGTGCAGACATCCATGCCTGTGCTGCGGCAATGCGACCGCTCTTGTCTCTTGTGGCCACATGGGCTGCCGAGCACTGCCTAAAAATCAACGTCGCTAAGAGCGAAGCTGCTCTATTCCACATCTCTTCACACACACACGATCTGACGAGGACATGGTCGATCTCCATCTTGTTAGCGGGAACCTGCGTATTCAGTCACGCCCAGTGCGCTTACTGGGCACCACGCTCGATCAACTTCTCAATTCTGTTACGCATGCTTCCACCGCTGCAAAGAGGACCATGCCACGCCGCTATCAGCTGCGTCTGGTCGCAGAGGCGGACGCGTCCCATCACACCATGCGATCCTTTTTGATTGGATACGTTCATAGTGTGCTATTTCATAGTGGCGAGGCAATTGTCCCGTGACTCGCCCCCACTCACCTCCATAATATGGAAGTACGGTACCGCGACGGTAGCAAAACATTCTTTGCCTGAGCGCATCTACGGAAGACACATCTGTCTATTTGGAGGCCAATATTCTTCCGCTCCGGAAGGTACTCTGGCGTCGTGCACTCACACAATACGAACGCTATATACGCCTCCATGATCACGAGGATTTGTGTTCCCTTATCTACTCGGAACCTATGCCGCCGTCCATGCATGGGAAAGCGCCGACATCAATCCGCCTCCGAGAGATGCTGTTATTAATGGATTGCTACGCGTCTGTGACATTATTGGGACAACCCACAACCACATTCGCGCGCCTCTTGCCCAACATCGAGTTTTTCCTGGGACACTGTGATCTGCAACGACGTGAGATTTTATCAGCCACTGTTTGCCGAAGACGCCTCTGACGATGTCAGGCGCACGGCTTTTTATTCTACTCACTCCTCTTTGGGGGATTGTGATTTTGAATTGTGGACGGACGGTCCTTCGTCTCTCGCTGCACTCGCATCCCGATCCGCTGCGCTATTATATGACTCCACCACGACAAATGATCTCCCTGTGGAGGTACATCGTGCAGCAGCTGGCAGCCTCGCATGCTCATATAGGGCAGACTGCCTTGCGATCGAAAATGTTTTTAGACATCTCATACCTCCTTGTCTGGGAACATCCCAATCGCCCACACGAATGCTGGAGGAAACGGACTCCCTCTCGGCAATGGAGGCACCCCGCGTTGCCCACCGACCGTGCGAGACCGCGTTACTGAGTAAATTTGGATTATGCTGCTTTCCTTGGTGAAGCGAGGTCACCCTGTGGATTTTATATTTTCCCCTCACACTGCGGTATTCCACGCGGTGAGACCGCTGACAAACAAGCCACGATTGCACGATTCCTCTCGCAGGACTGCGTCACTGCCTGGCACGTGGACTTCCTCACTGCAGTGAAGCGACGGCACTGGAAGGATGCCCAGGAGGAAAAGGAAGGCGCGCACACCGCGTGACAGGCGCCCGTCGGAGTGGCGGAACTCTATTCCTGGTGTTGTCCCGGACATCGGTCCCCGAGTGGCGGCACTGCGCACAGGCGCGATGCGACTCCTGCCCACTCTTCGACAGGCCTGCACGTGCCCTGCGGATCACAAGGAACCCTCTGTGTCGGTGGTGCCGTCCCTCCCTGACTGCGGTGACCGGCCCGCCTCTGCCTCCGCCGGAACCTCTTCCCGACGTGAGCACCGCGACTCCTTGTCGACCAGCGAGCGGCGGATTGACGTCCTCCTGCCCAACCTGCGGCAGAGTGCGCTTGTCCGTCCACAGTATGAGGGCACATGCCGGACGTGCTCAGCCTGGCGTTATAATAGTTTGCGAGGGCCTCCCATGCGGATGCCACAATGGCGCCACCGTCTTCCTAACAGGCGCCTCGCGCGCAGGTCGCCACCGAAGTTGCCAAGCATGCCAGCAGGCAAGACACGCAGAAAGCACAAACGCGGGTACTCGAGATGGACCAGGCTCTTCCGCCACCGCCTCATCACGGACGCCACGGGCTGCTGATCCCCGACGGACCACGGGAGACTCCGCCTCATCCACTGCGGGAATGCCCTCGTCGTTGGGAACTGGGACTCCGACTGTGTGTGACTGCCCCAGCCCGCACGACGGAATAATTGCCACTTTTGTACGGACGGCCCTTGCGCTACTCACTCGTTATTGTAGCAGCATACAACCAAAACAAGATAACAAGCTGCTTTGTGATGAATATTGGCTGCACTTCCCGTGGACCAACAATCCGCGTGGTGTGCCGGGATCTCCTTTTGTATTGTTACTATGCTTTTGTGCTGCTGTGTACGCTGCACCTTCTTGTGTGTGTGCGCACCCTCCGTGAGGGGTGCCGACACGACGGGCCGCTCTCGCCGCATGTGCATGCGGTGGAGCCTTGTGTGCCGCTCCTGTTTGCTTCTCCCTCTTCCATCTGTGTGTTGGTGTTGCGGCAGGGCTGTGTGTGTGTGTGCCTGCTGCCGTGGATTGGAGTGTGTGTCGTGCGTGGTGTGCGGCGTACGGTGCATGCCTGGCTGCTGCCCTCTCCTCATGTGGTGTGCCCTCTGCGTGTGTCTGCTGCACCTCTCGTCTCCCCTGTTGCTCTCCATGTCCCTCACTGTGCAGGTCAGCTCCACACCACTGAACGACCACACTCACGACGATGATGACGTGCCGTCTGCTGTGCGCCCTGTTGGTGCTTGCCCTGTGCTGCTGCTGCCCGTCCGTCTTCGCTGCAGCGAAAGCTGTCGCTTCTTCCCAGACAACCAGAACACCGACATCAATTAATCCTGGAGCTAATGGAAGCGCCCCCAGTCAATCGACCCCTGCAACAGGGGGAGCATCAAAGGGGACCGCCGGTCAGCCAGGATCGTCAAGTACGGGTTCCGTTCCGGATCAGGGAAACGTTGACGGAGAAGGACCAGGTGTGACCGCTGGGGAAGCGCACTCAAATGTCGTGACCAATAATTTACAGGCAGAAGGCAAGGACGGTAGGACAGGAAGACAAAGTGGCAATAATACATCCGCAGATAAAGCAGCTCGTGAGGCCAAAGATGCTGCCGCGACGACCACAACGACAACGACGACTACAACACAGGCCCCAACAACGGCGACCACTACAACACATGCACCAAGTACTACGACTACAGAGGCGCCAGCTGTGTCGACCACCCGCGCACCGTCACGTCTTCGCGAAATCGACGGCAGCCTCAGCAGCTCTGCGTGGGTGTGTGCCCCGCTGGTGCTCGCCACATCCGCGCTGGCGTACACCGCTGTGGGCTGAAGAGGTGTGTGCGGGCTGTGCGTGCCAGCACTCAACCGCGGGGATTTGTGCGCGTGTGTTGTGTTTCACTGTATAAAATAAGAGAAAATAATGATCTTTTTTTGCTTCACTTGCTTCTGCTGCCGTGCTGTGTGCTCCGCGTTGTGCCCCGCATCCGTCACGTTGAACGCATCGCGGACACACTCATATGCATGCGCACTGGAGCCCTGGGTTTGTTTTTCTTTTTTAATTTTTCTTTTTTAATTATTGCTTTTTATTGCTTTTAAGCTTGTGGTTTGCGGTGCGGTGTGCGAGCTCTGCAATCGTACTGACTCCATCTGACTCGTGGTGTGTGCGCTGCTGCTGGGGTGCTGCCATTTGTTGCTGTGCGTGGTGTAGCGGCCGTGTCTATCTTTCTGCTTTTCACTCTGTTGACGTGGAGTTACTTTTGGTGAAGGCTACACACAAGTGACAGGAGTGATGGCGATGATGACTGGCCGTGTGCTGCTGGTGTGTGCCCTCTGCGTGCTGTGGTGGCGATAGCGGTACGTGTGAGTATTAGCTCCTGCTGTGACGTGCTCAGCTGCGGAGGGAGTGCGCGATGGATGGCAGCAGAAGGACAGGGAGGCAGGGCGAATGCGTCCGCCGTGGAGGAGTGTGTGCGTAATTGGATGGCCGTCGTCGTTGGAGGCGCCAAGGGATTGCCGTTGCTGCTGACACCGCTGAGGATAAGGGTGTGTGCTGCAATCCAATGAACACTCAACGAGATGCGTCACCAGCCGCGTAGATCGCCTGCCGTTAGAACGAGGAGAAGACAAGGCGGAGCGCCACCAGCGGCACCGGCAGTATGTGGAGGATCAGCGGGATGGCGTTATTTGCCGCCCGAAATGAAAACGAATGTGTCGGAGTCACACGACGCATTGAGTGGTGCTGGACAGCGGGAGGAGTCAACTGTGAATGGTTCAAAAGGCAAGGCTCAGATGCTGATGGCTCCTGTCACTGTGGGGCGCCTGGAACTCGTGCCCCAAAAGGAGCGAGCATTGCCCTCTTCGGATGGCAGTCGCGCCACCGGCAGTCGGGAAAACGAATCCGCTCAGGATGAAAAGTTGAAAGTCGCTGAGTCATCGGGGGCGGTGGGACAGAGGGAGGAGCCCAGCCCCCAACACAGCCTGCCATTGGGGGGCGAAAAGGATCACAACCAACAAAACCAGCCGCAGTACCGGGCGAACAAATAAGACAAACAGCAGGGGCAGGAACCGCCGCAAGGGGCAGAAGGGTCTGACAGCCGACATGAAGTTTCATTGCCAGGGAATGGCTAAGGTAGCGCCAAAACACGATGCGGGTTCAAACACAACTTTTGCACAGGTACCGGATGATGCACCACAAGGAGAATCGGGAGGAGAAGTTGCAGTAGAAGCAGCTGGTGGAGATGAGGCAGAAAGGAAGGAAGTTGCAGCACACCAAGACACCGTGCAGCATGCACCATCTCCCATTCACGAGAGGTCATCGCAGTCATCGTCTTTTTCAAATGGCGGCTTTGCTGCATTAGATTGGAAAGAGGAATGCACCGTGCAGGAGATTTTCAAACAGCCTCCACTTTCTGACGCTGCAGAGAAAACAGAAACGTACCGGCGTGAGGACAAAGCGCCTGCTGCCGAGGCTGACAACTGCACCGCATTTCTTCCAGCTGCAGAGTTTAACGCCGCCGCCAGCACCACCACGACCAATCATAATGCGAGCCACCTGAACGGAGAGGACGCCGGACCCTCCACAGAAGAAGTGGAGAAGAAGAATGCAACAACAAAACCGAAGGCACATCAGCCGGCAAAGTTACCCCGCAGCCCACAGTGAGGGGTTCAAGAGGGACATCGCCACCGCCACTAACAACATAAACACAGCTTCGCATGGCGGCAGTGACAGCAGCACCGTAGTCTCCCACACCACCTCCCTTTTTTGTTTCTTGTTGCGCGTGCAGCAGCTCCTGTTGCGGTGGTGGCCGGGCCTGCATGAAATTGAGTGCGATGAATGTGGACGAAGGCCCACTGCAACTGAACTGCTTGTGGTGAATATTGGCTGCACTTCCCGTGGAACAACAATCCGCGTGGTGTGCCGGGATCTCCTTTTTGTATTGTTACTTTGCTTTTGTGTTGCTGTGTGCGCTGCACCTTATTGTGTGTGCGCACCCTCCGTGAGGGGTGCCGACACGACGGACCGCTCTCGCCGCATGTACATGCGATGGAGCCTTGTGTGCCGCTCCTGTTTTCTTCTCCCTCTTCCATCTGTGTGTTGGTGTTGCGGCAGGGCTGTGTGTGTGTGTGCCTGCTGCCGTGGATTGGAGTGTGTGTCGTGCGTGGTGTGCGGCGTACGGTGCATGCCTGGCTGCTGCCCTCTCCTCATGTGGTGTGCCCTCTGTGTGTGTCTGCCGCACCTCTCGTCTCCCCTGTTGCTCTCCATTTCCCTCACTGTGCAGATCAGCTCCACACCACTGAACGACCACACTCACGATGATGATGACGTGCCGTCTGCTGTGCGCCCTGTTGGTGCTTGCCCTGTGCTGCTGCCCGTCCGTGTGCGTGACAGAGACCCAGTTGAAGGATAATGAAAATCGTGCTCAAGAAAAAGAGAGCGGCATACAGCCTCCTCCACCAAAGCCACCAACTGCTATGTCGGTTGATACTCACGATAGCGTCGGTAGTCATTCTTCCACTGCAAAAGTTGTAACAGTTAAGGGGGCCGCTCAGGCAGGGTCGCCAGGCTTGGGTTCCTCTGCGGAAGTGGGAATGCTTGACAGAGATGAAACACGTTTGTCTGCTTTGGAACGACAACCAGATGACGAAAAAAATACGGTACAGGCAGAGGGTACGAAGGAGCAACAAAGTCGCACGAGTACATCCTCAGAACAAAAAAATATGGAGTCTGAAGCTTTTGCTCAGACAACGACCACGACGACAAAGCCACCAACCACGACCACGACCACCACCACTACAACAGAGGCACCAAGTACTACGACTACAGAGGCGCCAGCCACTACTACGACCACCAGCGCACCGTCACGTCTTCGCGAAATGGACGGCAGCCTCAGCAGCTCTGCGTGGGTCTGTGCCCCGCTGGTGCTCGCCGCATCCGCGCTGGCGTACACCGCTGTGGGTTGAAGAGGTGTGTGCGGGCTGTGCGTGTCAGCACTTAACCGCGGGGATTTGTGCGCGTGCGTTGTTGTCCGATTTACTAAATAAGAGAAAATAATGATCTTGTTTTGCTTCACTTGCTTCCGCTGCCGTGCTGTGTGCTCCGCGTTGTGCCCCGCATCCGTCACGTTGAACGCATCGCGGAGACACTCACAAGCATGCGCACTGGAGCCCTGGGTTTGTTTTTCTTTTCTTTTTTTTAATTATTGCTTTTTAATTGTTGTTTTTTATTGCTTTTTAAACTTGTGGTTTGCGGTGCGGTGTGCGAGCTCTGCAATCGTACTGATTCCATCTGTCTCGTGGTGTGTGCGCTGCTGCTGGGGTGCTGCCATTTGTTGCTGTGCGTGGTGTAGCGGCCGTGTCTATTTTTTTGCTTCCCTCTCTGTTGACGTGGTGTTACTTTTGCTGAAGGCCACAGGCAAGTGACAGGAGTGATGGCGATGATGATGACTGGCCGTGTGCTGCTGGTGTGTGCCCTCTGCGTGCTGTGGTGCGGGTTTTCTTTGGTGTCGGCAGATTCCGGGGATGATCGTGAGAATTCCGGCCAAGGTGTTGTTGGGAGTGTTGGTCAACCTTCCCCAGTTGGGGGTCATGGTGATAATGGAGTTGGCACTGATGGAAGCTCTGTGAGCGGTGGAAGTCACTTGCCGGGTTCTGCTCCTACGGGTGGCAAACCTTCACTTCCCGGTGTTGGTGATGGTGTGGGTTTAACTGAATCTAAGGATGCCTTAACTCTTGCAAAAGAGGGGCATGAAGTCGTACGGGATCAGCATGAATTAGTGCCTCAAGTTTCGCACCACACTGATGCGGGAGCAGGAGGGAAAAGCGATCTCAGTGCGCCAGAACAGTCGCCCAACGCAAAAACAGAATTAGAAAATGGTGGTGGTGTTTGTGGTGATGATGCTGCAACTGCGGAGGGTGAAGTAATAACAACCGTGAATGAAGAACAATTGGGCGGATCTTCCACGAGCGACAGCCATCCACCAGCAGCAGACCGAGGGGCGAAGGAGCAGGAAGGCACAGTGGAACAAGCAGCATCAACAGCGGCACTGACGCCAGTGGTGGGGCGAGAAACAACACCTAAAGGGGACACCGAAGAGGACTCACCGGAGGATAAAGCCGCAACTGGCGCAGGTGTCACACAAGATATACCAGCTGTCAGTCAACAACAAACAAATTCTTCATCCACTTCTACAACTGGAAATGGTCCGACTTCTACTCTAGGAAAAGGGCGCGCTGCGGAGGACATTTCCAACAATAACGAACGATCCGGTAAAGCACTACTGCAAGAAGGAGCGGAACATGAAACTGTTGCTGGCAGCCAATCGCAAGCAATACCAGCAGCCACCGCCCGTAACACACTTGGCACAACCGTTTCTGGCGGCAGCGACAACAGCACCACGATAACTACAGCCGTGCGGTCTGACACTGGCACAAAAGGCACTCCAACCAGCAATCATCCGAACCGACAATCCATTGAAGGCGCCACGTCACCCGGCACGAATTCCGATGGTGAAGCTGCATCAGCCAAAAACTATGATACGGTACCTCAGAGTGCAGGATCCACAGCAGCGCCAACCACAAACAACAAAAAAAATGACGCAGCTTCTCATGGCGACAGTGACGGCAGCACCGCGGTCTCCCACACCACCTCCCCTCTTTCGCTTCTTCTTGTTGTTGTTGCGTGTGCGGCTGCTGCTGCGGTGCTCACTACGTAAGAGTGAGGGAGAGAGAGCCGTGCACCGCCCGCACACACACTCGTCCTTCACTCTCTGTGTGTGTGTCCCCTTGCATGGACTCTCGCCCTCACCTCACCCCACGAAGCACACACAATAATGTGCCCATTGTATATATGCATGCACACCCATGCATGCCCGTTGGTGCTCTCTTTTGCACGACACGCACCGCTGCCGTCCTGCCTGGCTGCATGGGCGGAGCACCGTAACTGTTTCTGTTTTTTTTCCATTGCATTGAGTGGGCGACCTCTCTCTCTCTCCCTCTGTGTGTGTGTTTTGCTTTACGGGAGTAATGAGAGTGTGTGCGCTGGTCGTCCCACGCTTCGGCTTTTTGTTTTGTTTTTCATTTTTGATTTTGTGGTTGAGTGCACCCATTCTATTACACTTTTTATTTAATTATTGGCTTGCTTTGACGGTGGACGCCTAAATTGTTTGCTTTTTGTGCATTATTATACTGTTCCTTTATTGTTGAGAGAGTGCCAGCCTCTTGTATTCTTGTAGCGCCACTGAGTTTTTTTCTTTTACATACGCCATGCGTCATTTGATTCACGTTACTCTGCGGCCTGCATTGCTTTTGGTTCTGCTTGTGATGATGTTTGTGCTGTGATCAGTCGGCGGGTGTCTTGCTGTCAGTCTGACGTATCCTTCGTTTCTTGACGGTTTGTTGCGTACCGACGGTGCGTGGGCGTCTCTGGTGATAGTGGGGGCCGCATGTCTCAGAGCGCAGGATGCGTTGCAGGTGTGCGGCGTCGTTTGGAAGTACCGATGGGTGACCATCCGCATCCAGGCGTCATCAACGGACTGTGAGGGCAGCAGGAGGCACTGCGGCTTCTTTTGGCTTTGCACAAAGAGTTTATTGGACGGTGCGTTTGTTTTCAATCTTTGCAGCTTTTGTGGGGAAGGTGGGAGGCTGAGTGCATTAGGACTGAATTCATTTCGGTGGCTGCGTTCCGTTGACTTGCGGCCGGTCGTGGCACTCTTTTGGGGTTTGGCGGCTCGTCTCTTTTTTTTGCTTCCCACCGCAGCACGTGGAGGACACTGATCCGAGGAACTTTTGTTTGACTGCGTGTAGGCTGCTGCCGTGCGTGGTGCATGGACTATGTGATTGTGTGAGGAGGGGCATTGGAGTGACGACTACTTCTGTTTGGCGTGTCGCGGTGTGTCGGAATGATGTTCGGATGACATGTGGAGGGTGTTGTTTGTGATTTGTGTGTCTTCTCTGGTGGAGCCGACATGTGTGCGGGGATTGTGGCATTGCTGGCTGACAGTTCCACGTCACTTTTCGGCATTCCTGGATGTGCTGAGGAATGACGGCTGGTGACCAGCGTGTTGGTGCTGCTGGTGGGAATAAGTGCATGAGGAATAGGCCGTTTTCTCTTTTCCTGTGCTGGAGCCGATGAACTGACACGAGGGCACCGGCTGCAGGCTGCCTGCCAGCACGTGTGAGCAGCGGATGCATGCACACACCGACGCTCATCGCAAGAGCTTGTGCGATCACGGTGGCTTTTGTGGCGTGCTTTTGTGGGCGTCATTCCGTCGAAGAATGTGTGAAGCAAACGGCTGACTGCACACGAGGGAAATAAGTGCGTGCACTGTGCCGTGTTTCAGCGTCGATGGCAGAGCGGCATGAGGCCCGTGCTGGCAACTGAGATCTTTGCGTCGCGAGGGATGTCGGTGTTGATTTTGGATCGTCGGGGGTGAAGTGATTTTGCTGCTGCCCGTGTGTGTGGCCACTCCGGCGGAGGGCGGACACAACAGGGAGGGATGCAGGCGCTGCGTGTGTGTGCGTGTGCCATGCAACAACGTCACAACAAACATGCTGCGACTCGGTGACCCTCACATCGTTGTGGTCCTCACGAGCAGCGCAGGCACGGCCCACACCGATGCACTCAGTGGACGGAGTGAGGCATCTTTGAGGCGCTGCAGGGAGCAGGATGTGTTGACGCAGCCACGACGTGCATGGAGTGTCACGATGGCACAGCCGGCTGTGGCTGGTGGAATATTTACTTCTCGGATGCAACAGAGAGAGAGAGACAGAGAGAGAGCTGCTGCTGCTGCTGCTGCTGGCGTCGTTGCTGCCTCTTGTGGCCTCCCATGCCGATTATTGTCTGTCCGCTGATCATGGGTGGCATGCCTCCACTAGTGACGTCGTCTGCAGGCATTCCACAGCACCAGTGAAACACACATCACGTCGCATGCTTTGGCTGTGGATGTGGTGTCGTGAGTGCAGCCGGCATTATTTTGCCCGACTCCTTTTCACTGCTTTGCGACGAATGGATGCGTCGCCGCCCGAGTCATTCACTGCAGCTCCGTGTGCTGTGCTGCCAGCACAAGACTCTCCTGTTGTCTGACGCCTGGCTGAGAGTCAAGCACCACTGCGTTGGGACATGCAAGGATTTGGTCTGCCGTTCACGGTGTTGGGCACCGCTGTTTGGATGCGGCGGCCACACGAGCGGATGTATTGTGGCACAATCAAATGCGTGAAGTATGCGGAGCCACAGCGGCTGCAATAATATCAGCGGTGTGGCACCACGGAATCTGTGAGGGGGTGATGCATGATGAATCACAGTGGGCGGCATGCGAGGGAAGTGCACCGCGACGGAGCGTCATCCCGCCCTCAGCCTGCAGGGGAATGTACGCCCACAAAATATATGGTCGAGGCACCACCAAACACACATGCCCTTCCATGCAGCAATAAATAGGAGCGAAGGTGCGTTCTGGTGCGTGGGAGCCCACTCACATGTTTTTTATTTCCACCGCAATAAACGGTGAGGAATCAGGTGCCACAGCAACGAAGGGAAACACAAACATCTATTGCAGCACTTTACCAGCGAAAGGCAGGAACAACACACACTGAATTATTGGCTGCACCCACACAAAAAACATTCACCAGAGAAAACAATAAATAATTGCGCACCTTGCGGAAATCCTTGAAACACACGATCCAGGCATGAAGGTTTGTCCTCCGCAAAAAACCCAAACGAACAAAACATGTGCACACATCCGCCAACATCCAAACAGAAACAAAAATAAATGATTGCCTGCATTATTCCATTCCTTGCGCTTGTTTTTACGTGTGCGTCTGCTGCTGCAGTGGTGGCCGGCCTGCATGAAGTGGTCTGCGATGAATATGGACGAAGGCCCACTGCAAATGAACTGCTTGTGGTGAATATTGGCTGCACTTCCCGTGGACCAACAATCCGCGTGGTGTGCGGGGATCTCCTTTTTTACTGTTACTTTGCTTTTGTGTTGCTGTGTGCGCTGCACCTTCTTGTGTGTGTGCGCACCCTCCGTGAGGGGTGCCGACACGACGGACCGCTCTCGCCGCATGTGCATGCGATGGAGCCTTGTGTGCCGCTCCTGTTTGCTTCTCCCTCTTCCATCTGTGTGTTGGTGTTGCGGCAGGGCTGTGTGTGTGTGTGTGCCTGCTGCCGTGGATTGGAGTGTGTGTCGTGCGTGGTGTGCGGCGTACGGTGCATGCCTGGCTGCTGCCCTCTCCTCATGTGGTGTGCCCTCTGTGTGTGTCTGCCGCACCTCTCGTCTCCCCTGTTGCTCTCCATGCCCCTCACTGTGCAGATCAGCTCCACACCACTGAACGACCACACTCACGATGATGATGACGTGCCGTCTGCTGTGCGCCCTGTTGGTGCTTGCCCTGTGCTGCTGCCCGTCCGTGTGCGTTTCAGAGGAAGCTACCGCTCAGCCAGTGCCTGAAGGGTCTTCCAATACGACCACGACGACGACCACAACAAAGGCACCAAGCACTACGACTACTGAGGCGCCAACTACTACGACCACCCGCGCACCGTCACGTCTTCGCGAAATCGACGGCAGCCTCAGCAGCTCTGCGTGGGTGTGTGCCCCGCTGGTGCTCGCCGCATCCGTGCTGGCGTACACCACTCTGGACTGAAGAGGTGTGTGCGGGCTGTGCGTGCCAGCACTCAACCGCGGGATTTGTGCGCGTGTGTTGTGGTTCACTGTACTAAATAAGAGGAAATAATGATCTTGTTTTGCTTCACTTGCTTCTGCTGTCGTGCTGTGTGCTCCGCGCTGTGCCCCACATCCGTCACGTTGAACGCATCGCGGACACACTCACAAGCATGCGCACTGGAGCCCTGGGTTTGTTTTTCTTTTTAATTTCTGTTTTTTAATTATTGTTTTTTATTGCTTTTTAACTTGTGGTTTGCGGTGCGGTGTGCGAGCTCTGCAATCGTACTGATTCCATCTGTCTCGTGGTGTGTGCGCTGCTGCTGGGGTGCTGCCATTTGTTGCTGTGCGTGGTGTAGCGGTTGTGTCTCCCTTTGTTTGTCTCGTGCTATCGCAGGTTGGCTCCGCAGCGTTAGGCGACTCCACTGTTTGTGATGATGACTGGCCGTGTGCTCTGCGTCCTGTTGGCCCCTGCAGTGATGTGCAGCTGCTCGTGCGTGTGAGTGACGGCTGCTGCGACGGGGTGCGTGTGAGTGACGGCTGCTGCGACGGGGTGCGTGTGCTGCCCGCGGGTGATGGCTGCGGAAGGTGGACCCGTGGCCGGTGGCTCTGGACGAAGGGGGAATGTGAACTCTGAGGACAATAGCAATCAGGAAGACGAGGAGGGTGGAGGAAACACCGCGGGTGAGGACCCCAATCCCACCTCGGGAGGAGCACTCACTGCTCCGACGAGGCAGGACCAATCCAGAAGCGACCCACTGCGAAGTGGCACTTGCAATCCGTCCGGCACTGGCAGCGCGTCTGCTGCTCGGATGAGTGCAAATGGACCGGGGTCTTTGGGCGGAGGGCACGCTGCAGGCACAACATCCCCACGCTCCGACGCATCTCAGCAGGCAGCGGGTGGAGTGCATGCTGGTGGCGGGAGGACCTCCCAGGGCAGTCAGGCTTCGGAACAAACCGTCACGGGACAGTCACAGGTGCCAGGGACGGCGAAGGAGGCACAGCAGGGCGATGAAGGAGGAGAACCCGGAGCACAACACGAGGCCGACCAAACCACAAAAATGACTGTGGTGACCTCTTGCGCAAAAACAGCGGTGGAAGAGGAGAGCCGCCAGCGGGATCGCAAGATGCACCGCGTCTCTATAGTGGCGGGAATGCTCATTATTATTATTTTTCCCTGCTCTTACCGACATGTCTAGCCACACGATGTCATCAGGGTGCCGAGGAGGTGGTCGAGCAGCGACATGAGTTTTCTGCTATGAGGCAGCTGCCATTGGGAGAAGCTTTCGGTGCGAAGGTCCTTCTTGATGCCCAGCCGTTGGCGCACAGCCAGAGCGTCTGTACATTCCGGAAGCAGATGGTGCAGTGTTTTCTGCGGGCCAATTTTTGCGCTTGTGGAGGCTGGCTGATCCTGCGGTAGCAGTGATTGCCTCCTGGCACTGCTGCTGCGGTGCCGAGTAGCGTCTGGGTTTTGTGCGCGGCGATTTCTGTGCTGTGCGGTGCTTTTTTTGTGTGAGGAGGACCGTGTCGCAGCAATCGCGGTGGATGTCGGGAAGCGGTGGAGGGCGTTCCGGATGAAGGCACCGACAGTGACCGATGTGGTTCGTGTGTCCCACCAGTGTGGCGTCACAGTGCGGGCATTTCTTCTTTCGACGCTGTGTGGAGGGCCGTCTCTCCACAGGCGGTGCGTCGGCCTCCCTTGTCGTCGGGGGAACAGCTTCCGTCCCGCTGCGGTGGGATCGTCGTTAGAGCGCATGAGAGCAGACTGTTCCGGTGAGATGTTGCGGAAACGGCGTTGGTTCGTGCAGTCTCTCACAGTCCAGTACAGGCGACCCCAGAGCTCGGATTCCCCGCACCCTTCCCGTGCAGTGTGTATCCGTTCCTGTTGGTCGAGGGCCTCCTGAGTGATTAGGTGCTTGCCGCCTGGATCTGATGGCCTGGGGTCGCCAAGCAGGTAGTGGTGGGTGTCCTGATGCATGGTACTACGCCACTTGTTGGTGAGCTGGGTGTTAATGCATGACAGCAGGTCCGTGCGCTGTATGGGTGCTATTCCATGTTCCGTGTGTTGCCCGGTTGCCGTGGTTTGCGTCGCATGCTGATCTGCAGGCTCGTTAGCATGTACTCCGCAATGTTCGTAGCAAAAGTGCAGCTGCACGGACCAGCCGGCACGCATCAGTGACAAGAGACGCTGCCAGAGCCGATCCTCCGTCCAGTCGGTATGACTGAGCGGGCCCTTGGTGACGGCGGCTAGAAGGGAATGACTGTCTGTAACCACAAGCAGGGTTTTTGTGTCTGTGCTGGATACGATGGATACTCAGCCTTTCCATGGCCGGGAGCAGTGCGCGGGATTCCGTCGTGCGGCTGCATGGGCGTGTGCCACCGTTGGTACTGACATTCTCTATTATCTTCGAGGAACGCGGGGATGAGAGCAGTATGCCAATCCCGGCTGACGTGGGAATGTCAACACCGCTATTCTTCGTAATTACCCACGGTCCCCAGCGATGATGTTGCGCCTTGTCGCGGTGTTGGGGCTTTGGTTGCGTATAGGAACTCCGCAGCAGGGCGTTGCTGCGAGCACGACGGAGACCAAGGTGACTTCATTCCCCGAGAAGGTTCCACGCCATGCCCGGTGCGGGGAGGTGGGGCGGTCTGCCTGCAGACTGTCGGTCAGAACTGCACGACCGTTTCGCAGCGGTCACTCCGTTGATATCACCCGTGGCGGTGACGTTCGCAAGAACCCTGGCCCGAGGAGGATGGCTTCATCAATATTTGGCGGCTTAACATTGCAGGCCTCTCGTCCGTAAAAAGATTGCATTTGCGGCGCGATTGGAGCAGCGTCCACCTGACACCGTTCTTCTGCAGGAAATAAGTAACCGTGGTGACGTGGCGACGAAATTATGTGGCCATAATGACTACCTTCAGGCCTCACTGGGCGCGGTGGTGGTGTTGCTGTTCTGGTGCGCCACTCTCTACCGTGCGAGCGCCTGTCGCTCCCTGGCACTGACCTCCTGGAGACCATTGCTGTCCGTGTATTTCCGCCGGGTTGTCGCAGCATTTGCGTGGCGAATCTCTACAACCCTCCCACAGCAATTGGTCAATAATCCGCATTTATCAATATCGTTTGCCGCTTGTGCCCGAAGAGATTATCGCGGGCGACCTGAATTTACATCGTGAACTCTGAGACAGTCATATGTACCATCAAGGACTGGAGGCGATGA